TGTGCTGAATGTGGGGATGAGAGAGAGATGTCAGGAATTACCTCTGTGTTTTTTACTTGAGCATCCGGGCAAATGTTGCTGCTTCTGTTAATTGATAAAGGAATGACCAAGGGAAGAACTGTGTGGGTTGAGGAGTCAAGAGTTTTGCTCTGAACATGTTAAATTTGATATGAAAGAACTAGACTAGAGATGTTGATTTGCCAATCAACAGCATAAAGGAGGTGTGGCAGTTTTTATACATGTCTGCAAATTCTTTGGCACTCCTCCTATTAATAGGTGAGGTCTGTGCCTCTCCTCTTGAATCTGGGCTGGCCTTAATACCTCTGTTGTAACCAACAAAATGCAGCTACTTCCAAGGTTAGGACAATAAAATCCATGCAGCCTTCAACTGTTTCTGTCAGAACACTGTTCTCCATGATGCTTCTTCTAGAGATGTTCTCTCTCAGGACCCAGCTTCCATGTTGTGAGAAGTCATAAGGAAAGGCCATGTATGGTTGCTCCAGTCAACAATCCAAGTTGAAGCTATCCTTCAACCATCACAACCCAGCTGCCAGACATGTGAATTAAGGACCCTACCTCCTGGTTTGGCAACCAGAACCTCCCTCATCTTCTCAGTTTAGAACCCAATCTTTTCCCTGATGGACAGGACTGGAGCTGAGCAACTAATATGCCTATATCTTACCACAAAATCCCCTGTCACATGGAGCTTTGAAGTAGATTCTCCATCTCCAGATGTTCCAGTCAATTAAGTCACATCTGCTTATTTGAGTCTTCCTTTCTGAGGTCTTGGGCATTGTGGACCAGAGACAAGCCAGCTCTGATGCACCCTGTCCACATTCCTGACCCATGGAAATAATAAAAATTGCTGTTTTATGCATTAAATTTAGGGGTAGTTTGTCACATAACAAAAGATAATTGAAATATTCAGTCACTGAAGCTATCAAGACAGATGAGATCATTCAGTGAGAGTGTGTAAAAGTGATTAAGAGCAAAAACACTTTAGGGAACCCTAGCCTTTAAGAGATGAGAGAAGTTGAATAGGAAAATCATGACAAACAAAAAGGTAGCAGGGGGAAAAGTAGGGGTATCAGGAGATTGTGGTGTCATAGAAACCAAAAATAAAGTCATTGTCAACAGTGTCAGATGCTGCTGATAGGTCAAGTAAGATAACTGAACAAATGCCTTTAGGTTTTAGTTAACCAGGGAAGTGGTGACTCAGAAGGAGTAGCTTCACTGAGAGCAGGTAATAGAGATAGAATTCTTTTAGAGGAGAGGAGCAGGGATGACAAACAAAGGAAAGACTGGTCTCAGAGGAGAGGCCACCTTTGGTCTGTGACAGAAGGGAACAGCGTGGTAATATGTGAAGATCCCAAGATTTCTGTTGAGTTGTTCACAAGATGTTTAGGGAGTTCCTTCTGATGGTTTCTGTTCTCCCCAAAGCTGAACCTTTGGAGGGCAAAAAAGAGGGAAGGTGTTTTTTTGTTTCCAGTATGTGCTCTTGGCTTACCTGGGGGACCCCTGACTGATGCCAACACTCCCATAACCTTCTCAATGTGGGACCCAACTTTTCTCATGATGGGACTGGAGCTGGGCTACTAATAATCCTACACCTCATCACACAAGACTCTGCCATGTCAAGCTCAGGCCAAGGATATAGTGTGGGGCTTGAGGAGGTCCCTACTAGACCTGTTTGGCCCCTGCATTCCCCCCATTTAGGAACTTCATTGTCTTGGTGTTTAGCTAAATTCTTTTGAAGCTGCCAATCCATATGAGTTGTGTGACAGGCAACAAAAGGATAGGGTTTGTGTTCCTGAGGTGGGCTGGTGTAGGAGCCCCAGGATGTGGTGACATGAAGAGATAAAGTGGGCCACTAGGGCAGCTGCTGGAAAGCATACTCTGTAGATTTGGCTCTGATCAGAACTCTATTTTCCTAATTGGGAAACTAAGTATGACCTTAGGGGAGGGACTTGCCCAACATCATCACACAACATCTGTGACAGGATTGAGCCCTGGCTAAAATCCAGGTGTTCATTCTTCTCAGTGTTTTTCTACATGATATCAAATTGTTGGAGCTCCAGAAACAAGACAGAAGCAAGGCAAAACAGATCCAGGTTGCTCTCTGATGGAAAAGGGTAGGAGGCCCCATAGGGCAGCTTGACCAGTCAACAAAGGCAGGTACCTTTGGCCTTATTCTAGTGGATGGTCACATGATTAACATTTTTGGGCAGAAGACAGCCTGTGTAATTCAAAGCTGTTGAGACTGAAGAAAGATCCCTGCCTCCAATTCTAGGGCCTCTTTGATAGTTTCCCTTAATCGCATTCTTCCTTTTCCATTTCCCTTCTTATTTGTTCCATGTTCTGCTGGAAAGATTCAGAGTTCCAGAGGGCCAGCTCAGACTGGGAAGCCCTCTGAAGGGTGTCATAACACAGATGCATCCTAGATGGGCCAGTCGGTTATGTCTGAGACTTTCAGAGGTTCCTGGTGCTCAGTCATGCCTTCCTCTCCTGCCCTCAGTACTTTAACACAAGAAACTAATAGGTCATTAAATGAACCTCCCAGAAAGAAAGAAAGAAAGAAAGAAAGAAAGAAAGAAAGAAAAAGAAAGAAAGAAGGAAGAAAGAAAGAAAGAAAGAAAGAAAAAAGAAGAAAGAAAGAAGAAAAAGAAAGAAAAAGAAGGAAAAAAGAAAGAAGAGAAGAAAAAGAAAAGAAGAAAGAAAAAAGCAAATAAGAGCAATTATTTAAGTAGAAAAAATATATTTAAAATGACTTAAAACAGAGCATATTTATTAGTACCTAGATGCCCTTAGAGTTGCTTTAGAAGGGGGTACATTGCTTTTGTTTCCATTAATTTCCACTGATTACGGTTTAGCTAGTTTCCTCTCCACCATGACCCTAAAGAAACCCTCCCCTATGTATCTCTGATCTAAATTAGCATTCATTTATTTATACTTATTGAGTGCCTATTATGTGTTAGGCATTCTTCCAGCAGCTCCTAAGGCTGTTGCTATGGATAGGTCTCTGATGTTCCTTCATAAAATACTTGAGTCCAGAGATACCAGTCCCAGTTTGGGATATGGCTTCAAACTCTAGGGAAGTTCAGCAACAGAAGTGCTGATGGGAATAGCTTGAGCTTTTCCCTAAAGACTAGGGGAATAGTTTTCAGAGGCAAAGTGGTTTCAGAGGGTTCTCAAGGAAACAACCCTTAAATATTGGTATGCAGTTTTGCCAGAGAGGCTGCCATCTGTACCTTGCCTGGCTGTTCTGGGGGTATGGTTGAACTGGTCAAGGGACTGTGAGGTTGTTGCAGCAGCAAGGCATCCATCAGTTACCACAGGGCTGGAACATGCAATGAGGGTCAGATTGGCCAAGTCTCAAGAAAACTTTTATATGATTTGAAATGCTCTCCCAAAGAGATTTCCCTTATCATCTAGGAGCCAGGTGATTTCCTCAAGCAGATCTCATGAGATTATTTCCCAGATTTTTCCTAACTCTAAGAAATAAGGGTCATCATCCATTTCCTAACACATGGATCAACCAATCAGACATACACTCTGCCTAATAAGTAAACTATTACCTAAGGGAACTATTGCCTAAGAAAAATGGTAATCAAAGGGAAAGAGAAAGCCTTTAGAATTGCAATGAAAATAACTTTCCGTATTTCCTGGGAGTGGGCGAATCTAGCAGAGGAAACAATGCAGGTGTTTCCTTCTCTGTCTTATTAGGTAATGAGACCCTTGAGTCAATCAAAGCTAATGTTTTCACGTGGGTTCCATTTTGGATCAACTGTAATAGGTATCTTGCTCAGGGGATACTCTTTTTCCAGCTTATTTCAATAGTGTTAAGAAGTAGAAAGCAAGGGTGACTTGAGAGTGGGGGTGAAAGATGAATAATCAAAAAAGTTTCTTGGAGTGCCTTGGTGGCTGTCAGTTGAGTGTCCAACTCTTGATTTTGGCTCAGGTCATGATCTCAGGGTCATGGGATCAAGCCCTACATCCCACATCAGTTTCTTCAGTCCGCAGAGAGTCTGCTTGAGATTCTTTCCCTCTCCCTCGGTCCCTCCCACTGCTCATGCACACTCTTTCTCAAATAAATAATCTAAAAAAAAAGTTCTCCAGTCTGAGTACAATTCAGAAGTTTAATAAACAGCCGCTAAACATTGCACCAAAGCATTTGGAAACACAATTTCTACAGAAAGGCAAAGGTCAGGCTTTCATTCTAAACTCCTTTAGACGATCATTAACAACAGCCCCACCCACCCCACCACCCCCCAACCCCACATACCCACAACACTACACTCTTCTAGTCATAAAATTGCCTACAGACATACTCTTAGAAATAATGGGACTGGCATGCATTATCCCAGCAATGGCAGAGAAGCAGGGGATGGAGGGGATGGATGGGTGCAAAGGCAACCAGTGGCTAATGATAAACCCCTTAGGAGCTTTGTTTAGGGAGTGGGCAGGGAGAGTCTGATTTTGGTGCCATCTGTGGCTTTACTTGGGCTTCTGGGATAATCTGGACTAGAGGCTGGGACTGCCATCTTAATATCATTCCATTGAACCATGACTATTAGAAGTGGTCTCCTTAGGTGACACATTGTGACTTCTACAAATCTTTTTGGTGTCCAAACTGCATGCAGGAGTCAGCAGGACTGTTGAGACTGTGCTGATTCAGAGGCCAAGTGGACCTGGCTTCTCAGTCCTGTCTTCATTTTGGTCTTTGGAAAGGGACCCATGATAGTTCTCTATTACAGACACTTATAAGGTGTCTAGGCAAGTCATTTAAACATCAGAGACTCAGTTTTTCTATCTTATAAAAATTTTACAATCATAATACATTAAGAACAAATGAGATCAAATGGCCCCTAAGTAATATATTAACAAACTGGTAATAATGATTCACTTGACTGAAAAATCAACTAGACTCCAATTCACCCCTCTAAGAATTGGCATCAATAGAGGACCATAGTTCCCTGACATAGTGAGAGCACAGTTCTTAGGCCTGGGCTAGCATTTAGGGTGTGGAGGGCATGGAAGGGATAACTGGACTTTCACCTGCCAGTGGCCCTCTCTTTAGAGCCAGACTTTAAGCTTTTACCACCCAGCCCAAATCTCTTGCCTCATCCAGTATTTGACTAGTTGCCTTGGCAGGGAGGTGACTTTCCTACCCAATTTTTAAAAAGATATTGTGTAGGCATTTGATCTAGATCTTTTTGTTTCTGTTTGTCCCTTTTTAATATAAATTACAAAAATACTTGATCCTTTTCCTGAAGAATTTGCAGACAGTAATGAGTCCAAACTAAGCAGTGTCCAGCTGACAAGGGAGGGTCAAAGGGCTTTTCTGAAGGAGAGATATACCAAAGAAGATACTATTTTCCTGAGCAGCTGAACATGGCAGAGCATCAGCCATCTTGGGGCCAGGCTGGCCTAATTGGTTCTGTTTGGGCTATATATCATTGACATTAGTGAGCTTCAACAGTCCCCACTAACCTCCAAGCCAATAAAGAGGCTGGGGCCAGGTTTAGAGGTTAGCACTGGCTCCTGCCTTTGCTAGCAGTACTTTTGCATAGTGGGCCCAGCTGTGGGTAAAGGAAATAGCAGGCCAAGACCATATGGGATAGCCTGGCTCGTGAACGAGTCAGAATCATCTGATCTGGACCAGTCAAAAATCCTTCTTGGTCTGGACCACTCAAATAGCCAAATTTCCCACTACAAGTAGTTGAGTCTCCTGTTCTTTTTGCAGTGGGCAGAGTGCAATAAAATACATGCAGTGCCCTCAGCTGGGGGAGACTGACAGACTAAGATGAGCAACTGAGCAAATGGCAGTGTTTGGCTCTGATGAGGGTACACTCAGCAATGTCAGAGGGACAAGAAATTTTTCTGTTATTATTTTTTTCATGAGATTCATAAATATGAATTGAGAGTCACAGCTTGGTAGAGAGTTAAAAAGAAGAATCCTGAAATACAGAAAGGGGATCCCTGGGGTTTGGGGGCCTGGATGCTTCCTAGGGTATACAGTGCTCTGGTTGCTGCATCACCACTATCTAGTGTTTGCGGATCATGCCCTTGATAGCTGACTCCCGGTTGACATAGGTGGCCCAGTAGACCAGATTAAAAATGGCAAAAAGCACAGGAAAGATGATGCGGGAAATTTTGTCAACCTTGCTGACACTGTTGTAGGTCTTGGTCTCAGTTGGGATGTCCTGCACGTAGTTGGTCTTGGGTGAAGCAATAATTGTTGGGGTTGAGGAGGCACTGGGAGCAGCGCCCTTGGAGATAGTGGAGAACTCAGTGTCCTTGGCCAGATTGATGGGATAGGTGGTCCCCACGATGTTGAAGGTGGTGCTGGTTTTCTTTGTTGGGGCTGCTGGTGTTTTCTTCTAGGAACCAGAAAAAGTAGGGGAAAAGGGGGGACAAAACAAAAGCTAATTAATTCATTATACAGAGCACCTTCAGAGGCTGTAGGGAGGAGGAGCCATGAGGGAAGTTAAGAAACAGGGGCCAGGAAGCCAATAGCACTGAGTAGCCAGGTTTGTGTCTAAGGATAATTGAAGATGAGCTTGAAAACAGAAAACTTGCATCATCCTGGTTTACTAGCTATGTGGCTTTGGCCAAGTCACTTCTCTTTGTGTTTTAGTCTCTTCATCTGTAAAATGAAAATCAAAATATTTGGCAGGGTTGTTGGGAGGATCAGATGAAAGAATGGTGGTAAGAATCACTGGAAAACTGTGAAATGTTGGTCACATGTAGGGTCTTATAGAGTCATGTGATTTGATCCTCACAGTAACCCTATCAAGTAGGTAGGTGAGATTACTCCCATTTGACAGATGATAAAACTCAGCCTCAGACTGAGAAGCAGAGCCCACACTAGCCACCTGGGCTCCTGACTTTTATCCAAGGCTGTACTGTGTTGCTTTCTATAGGTGCGAGGCACTTTTTGGTTACCCGAGAAATAACTCCAAAAGGCTTCAACCATCAAGTGGCACATCCCCTGTGAGGAAGAGAGCTATGTGAGTCTGAAAGTCATTTCATCTTAAAGACACAATAAATACTATGGCATGTTTACATGCATCATTACAACAGTATTTCACCCTTCATGCACTGTAAATGTGTTCAGCAAACTAGGGGGCACACCAGGGTTTTCCACTCATACATGGATGCAGGCAGGAGCCAAGGCCTCCCCAGGGAGCTATGCAAATATTTCCCTCTGACACAGCAAGCCCCTGGCTGTTTCTGCCTTTGTTATGACACTGCCCTTTGTAAATTTTTTTTTCAGAATAAAAACAACTCAATGAGAAACAAACATGCACACATGTGCCCATTTGGTCCCACATATATGATTTGTGTACACATGGACCCTCTATGAAGAAAAGGAAACAAAGCTCAGGTCTAGATCAGAAGAGAGTAGCTGAGCTCATAGTCTATAGTGATTGCTGCCTCCCTCTGCACTCTGGCCTTTTCTTCTTTCCATCCCTTTTTGTTTCTAGGGAAAAGTTGGGGATAGATGAGCTTCAGAAATGCCCAAGAGTATTTGATGAAGAGTGATAACTACTTGCATTGCCCTAATTTCACACACCTCATTTGTTCCCTTTCTCAGTGTTATTTTGCTTCCCAGCATCTGTAATTTTACTTTACTCCTCTGCTTCTTGTTTCCTTCCAGGGTTTCTCTACTCCCACCTTCTCTTACTGACCCCTTTCTCCTAATCTCTTTATTTTCTTCTTTACATCAGAGTCCCTACCATTTTGATTTTTCCCCCTTTAGAACATACTGCCATTTACCTTCCTGATTCAAGTATAACTTTGCCAAATATTTACTGAATATCTACTGGGTCAAAACTATGCTAGGTATTTAGGGATAGGTGGGAAGGTTAAAAGATGAATCCATTTCAATCCCTGTTTTCTAGGAGTTTACAGTCCAGTGGGGCAGAGAGCTGTAGGAACACATTAGTGCTATATAATATGATCAAAGTTCTAACAGATATGAGCAAATTATAACATATATGATGAGAATTCAGTAAAACAAGGGACAAAGTACCTATAGATGTTGGAAAAGGTAGCTCAGAGAAGGCAATGAAGTTTGTGACCTGGGTCACAGAAGATAAGCAGGAGCTCATCAGATGAAGATGCAGCACAGGCTAAGGGCACTGCTTGTCTGAGGGGATGATAAGAAGTCTGTTGTAGCTGGATCACAGTGTACATGGCAAAGGCCTTGTATGCCATGCCCTCCTGCTCTGCCTGCCCATGCTGACTTTAGAGTTTTCAATCAATCAGAGAGGGGGTGTGGGATAAATGAGTGTTGGTTTAAGTACATGAACCATCTCACTAATAGGTCTTTTATAAAGCAATACTGTTCTTTCTCTTTAAGAATTGCAGCCACATTGCTACACATGGAAGGGGGACAGAGCTCTAAGGCTTCTAAGAGCCTTGTAAGTGCCTTAAATACTACATGGGATTCATTTATAATTAGCAAATTCATTGTGTGAATAGAGGCCTGGTGCTAAATGCCTCTGCTATTAAATAGCACTTTACTTGTTTGCCTGCTTACTTATTAATTTGCTTAGTAATCTCTTTTTTTCTTTTTGTGGATAGACAAAGAAAAAAGGAGAAAGGAAAGAAAAGAACCCCACTACCTTGACTTTGCTAGAATCTTTCATGTTATTTCATTTAGTCAACATTTAAGCTGGTTATTACCAAGTATCTGAAACAATCATTCCAAACAGCAAACACTTTCTTTAGCTTCATAAGTCTTTTTTGTTCTATAGGTGAGGAGGAGCAGCAGTTGATTTAATCTCAGATTTTTAAAGCAATAAAGGAAAATTACCTTTTAATTTCCCTTGCCCTTTCCAACATGGCACATTTTAGTCAACCATTTTAATTTTTACCTTAATTGTCAAAGAAGGAAATCAAAGCAAAAGCTGTACTGTCAAGAAGACAGAAACAGGAGGTAGAGATTAATGGTTAATCCATTTCTGTTTCTAGTTTTCAATATTTCCCTATACTCTGGAATTTGATAGATACAAACTAGATTTAGTTTTGACCAAGTTGTGATTCTCTTCATTCCTTCCTAGTCAAGTGCCTGACTTAGGCATGTCATAGAGGTTTAGTGAATAAAAAGATGACCCTCCTCCCATTGAAGATTCTCAATCTGATTTCCAGTTTGTTTCTCCTTAGTCTTGACCTCTCCTATACAGAGAATGTATCTCTATAGTTCAGCTGGGAGTAATTCCCACACCCCCAAACTGAAATTGACTCCTCCAAATTCCCCCAAGCAGTATGACTCCCAGGACACCTTTCCTTCTAGAAAGCCACCTCATATGGATTTTGGGATGAAGCAATGAAAAATTGTATGGACCAATGCATGTCCAATTCAAGGGTTTTCCTCAGATGGTATTCCTGTCTATTGTTCTAGAAGTGCTAATTACAGGGTTAGTTGGAGCCCTGAACATACTTGATACTCAGCCAGGACCTCAGAGTATATGCAGATATGGCCCAGTGCCTCTGAATCCACCCCATAACAGACATTCAACTTTCCTGAACCCCAGTTTTCATAAGTGGAGCAAAGTAATGACATATAAGCTACGAGAGACTCAAAGACAAATCAGAGAAGTGACAAAAAAAGTCCAGGACCAGATGGCTTCATGGGTAAATTCTACAATACATTTAAAGAAGAGTTAAACCTATCCTTCTCAAATTATTTTTAAAAGTTGGAGAAGAGAGAACATTTCCAAACTCATTTTATGAGGCCAGCATTACCTTGATATCACAACCAGACACCACACACACACACATATTACAGCCCAAGATCCCTGATGAACTTACATGCCAAAACCCTCAACAAAATATTAGCAAATCAAATCCAACAGTACATTAATTAAAAGGATTATATAGCATGATCAAGTGGGATTTATTCCAGTGATGCAAAGATGGTTCAAAATCCACAAATTAATGAATGTTATACACCACAATAACAAAAAAAAAAGGATAAAAATCATATGGTCATCTCAATAGATGCAGAAAAAAGCATTTGACAAAAATTCGACATCCATTTATGATAAAAACTCTAAACAAAGTGAGGATAGAAGAAGTGTACCTCAACATAATAAAAATCATATATGACAAGTCCACAGCTAACATACCCAAAGGTGAAAAGCTGAAAACTTTTTCTCTAAGATCAAGAACAAGACAAGGATGTCCACTCTCATCATATTTTATTCAATATAGTATTACAGGTCCTAGCCACAGCATAAAAGAAATAAAAGTCATCCCAATTAGAAAAGAAGTAAAACTGTCATTATTTGCAGATGACATGGTACTATATATAGAAAACCCTAAAGACTCCACTGAAAAACTACTAGAACTAATACATTCAGTAAGGTTGCAGGATACAAAATTGACATACAGAAATCACTTGCATTTCTATACACTAATAATGAGCTAACAAAAAGACAAATTAAGAAAATCCCATATGATTTCACTCTTATGTGGAATTTAAGAAACAAAACAGATGAACATAGGGGAAAGGAAGGAAAAATAAAATAAGATGAAAACATAGAGGGAGACAAACCACAAGAGACCCTTAACTATAGGAAACAAACTGAGGGTTGCTGGAGGGGAGGGGAGGGGGGGAAGTGGTAACTGGGTGATGGGCACTTGATGTAATGAGCACTGGGTGTTGTATGCAAACAATCACTAAATTATACCTCTGAAACTAATAGTATATGCTGATTAAATTGAATGTAAATAAAAATTTTAAAAAATGCAAAAAAAAGAAAACAATTTCATTTACAGTTGCACAAAAAATAATAAAATACCCAGGAATAAATTTAACCAAGGGGGATTTATGACATTGATGAAAGAAATTGAAGACAACACAAATGGAAAATTATACTGTCTCATGGATTTGGAGAATTAACATTTTAAAAATGTCCATACTACCCAAAGCAATCTATGGATTCAATGCAATCCCAGTCAAAATACCAATGGTGTTTTTCACAGAACTAGAACAAAAAATTATAAAATTTGTATGAAACCACCAAAATACCCCAAATAGCTAAGCAATCTTGAGAAAGTGGAACAAAGCTGGAGGTATCATGCTCACTGATTTCAAACCATACTACAAAGCTATAGTAATCAAAATGGTATGGTACTGGCATGAAAATAGACATATAGATGAATAGAAAAGGGGATCCAGAAATAAACCTATGAATATATAGCCAATTAATCTCTGACCAAAGGAGGTAAAAAGATCAAATGGGGGAAAGGCAGTTTCTTCAATAAATGGTGCTAGGAAAACTGAACAGCTACATTCAAAAGAACAAAACTGGACCACTATCTTATACCATATACAAAAATAAACTCAAAATGCATTAAAGGTGTGAGT